AATATCCATATAAATTGAATTTCCTCTATTTTCTGGATCATGTTGTACTAGTTCGGACCACCTTAATTATGGTCAAATAATAAAGCTGGAAGTTTTCAAAAGTAAAAATGATAAACCTTTAGGAGGATTTGTTGAATAAAAGCGAATAACAATAATCTGAACTCACTGATGTATTACTTCGGGCCCATGCTCAAAATTTCCATCCGGAACAACCATAATCAGTAGACGGTAAGCTGACTCATTTTTGGAAGGATGGCCGTAAATCTTAACTAGCAAGATCTCAAATCGCAACATTATTCGGAATAATATTTCAGAAAATTGTGAACAGAAAACAAAATTTGCGTAACCAACCCCTAAATATGAAGGTCGCGGATTGGATTCTACATCGATGTAGTCTAGCCCACAAGTCGCTGAGGATGCATCATGCCTATCAAGTTCATAGGAAACCCCTTGATTGGTATAGGAGAAGTACAGATCGGCATCTCCTAAAAAAGGCAATAGGCGCTTCAGTTGGATTGTAAGTTATCATTATTAAATTAAAATAATAACGGCGAGGAATGCTTGTGAAATGGAGGAGTCTTTTACCAGTTCAGTCCCACCCTAGTGCTGATGGACCGTTCCAAACGTTCACCTCCAAAAACAAGACATCTAATTTAAACATATACCGAGACTATAATACGAACATCAAAAGTTGCTTTAAAACCTACAATATGTTAGGATCAGATGTTCATCAGGATGTTCAAGCTGGCATAGAATATAGGGACTTGTATGACAAAAACTTGATAAAGCGAGTTTTCTGGAGTCACACTCTGACCTATGCATGTTTCAAATGAATGAAGAAGAAAATAAGAGTAATTAAGGACAGTGTGTACATGACTAAAAGATTTTAACATACGTTACAACAAATGGGAAGGATATATAAAATGATAAGTTTTAAAATGAGATGAATGTAAGAACCAACCCTGTACGCTATCTAGCACTATTCGCATAGGTTTCGGCGATTTCAGTTCGAATCGGGAGAAGTTTCCCGCAGCAACGATTCCTTCACGCGTGAAGAATTGTGGAATTAAATCCTCTTCCTCGGATTTTGTATGTGGCGGCTGTTCATTGTTAGTCGCAACGTAACGAGTAACAGCGAAGAGGACTAAGCTCCATCTTACAAGCATTGCGACATCACTATGACGTATGTCTACTGCACGAGTCAGATAGCTGATTATACCTCTACTCTTTTAGAATAAATTTTGGTTCCAACCTTTCAGAAAATAGTTGTAGACTACAGATATGCTTGTATAGATTCATTCA